GAGCACGCTGAAATTTGGGACACCTACAGAAGAGATCCGACCAGTGGAAAAGAATGAATCAGTACGGATTCTTGGTGTTTGGGTCACAGCAACAGGAAATCCAACAGCAACACAGCAAATAGTGGAGCAGGAAATAGAAACGACCTGTAACATTTTCCGGTCCAAAGCCCTGACAGATCGGCAGACAACGTATATTGTCAATAATGTGCTCATCCCAAAGGTGCTATATAGGATTTCGGCCCAAATGCTGCCACCAACGTTCCTACAGAAGATGACTGGTAAGTATATGTCACTGTGTAAGCGGAAAGCACGTATGCCATCAACTACGGCAAACAGTATTATGAACCACAATAGATTGTATGCCACTAAAGACTTGGCGAACGCTCAAGCGGAAGAACAAATATCTACCCTGGCGCTTCGACTTAATGACAGCGATGTAATGGGACGGATATGTCGGACACGAGTACTGATGCTGCAGCACAGGAATAAGATGGAAGTCTCACCAACTTTGGAGCCACATCGTGTCAAAAAGTATCGCCATAACTTTATATCGAATGTTTGTGAAGAAATGAAGAATCGTAACATTACTTTCGACCTATCGATCGCAGCCGAATTTGGTCTCCCACACAACGCTCTCTCGACATGGAAATGGCTAAACGGAGAATCACCAGACGTATGGAAGGCGCTCATCAAGCGTATGGTATACTTTGTGGATCAAACACTTACGGACGATAAGGAGGACATGATCTCATGGCACGCATCCAGGACCCGTTACGGAGGGCCTAAAGTTTCGCCATTCTGGTTCAACCAACTTCAAAACTTTTGCTTCGACAGCGATTATGTGGGTAGGCATGCAAGAGAATGGAACAGGAGGAAACTGGCACTCTTAGACGTCAGTGATGATGACAGCAACAGCGACAGTAGTTATGTCAGCTCGCTAGGCGGGGATACGGAAGACGAAGATCGAGAAGCGATTCGTGCACTCAACCAATTCATAAAGGATGAGGCAGCGAACAGAACCTTGACAGTATCACCGGCCAATCAAGCTGCTGAGGCACCAAATGGAATGAAGTGGATTCTGGCTCAACAAAAGGAGCGAAAGAAGAGACGAGAAGCTGTTATGAAAGAGGCGCGCAGAGCAACCAGAGAACATAATCTTAGACGACAAAGAGCAAAGTTAGATGCCATAGTCAGAAGAGCAGAACGCCACCAGGACCGAGAGCGAAGGCATGGCGAGCGCATGCGAGCCCGCGAAGAAGCGAGGAGACGCCGGACCCAGAACACAAGGAGATATGAGGGTCTGAGCGAGCAAGCTCTGCTAAGGAGAGCAAAAGTCGACCTGGATTCCAACGAGACACCGTGCCTAAAAGCGATCCCTGAAGTCAACAGAGGCCTAGCCAGGGACACAAATGGAGTTATCATTAGTGCCAATACCGAGGAGAAAATCCAACGCCAAAGGGAACGGTACAATACCCAGCCGGGTAATGTCATTTATACGGATAGATCTCTCAAAGATATTGGCACTGAAAGAGTAAGTATGGCATTTGGTGTAGTAGTCCAGACACAAGAAGGTGATTTTTACACTGCGCTATCTGGTAGAGTAGCAGGCAACGCATCCTCGACAAAGGCAGAGCTATCTGGTTTGTTGGCAGGGATACTTATCAGCCCACGAAATAGACCTATGACAATCCGACTTGATAACAGCGCAGTTGTAACTCAATTCCGAGCATTGGTCCGAGACAGAGTGGATAGCACGTTGCGACAACGTATTAGATCACCGTATGCAGTATGGTGGGCAGCTATACACAACACATTTATTCAACAAGGATCGGAAGTCACGGTCGAGTGGGTCAAAGGACATGCCGGCAACCGAGGGAACGAAGAAGCGGACGAAGCAGCAAAACATGGATATTATGGCGAGCTATGGGATATCAACATAACGGAGCATAATGACATGTATTGCCATGCAAAGTTCAACGGCATACCGGCGGAAGATGACTTAAGGCAGATCCTTAAGTTACAGTCAACAACTCGCACACATCGCACTTGGGTCGTTCAGAACAGGACGCAGGAGCATGTTAAGGATTGGACAAAAATTGATTGGCGAGCTACTATGAACATTGTTCATGGTAGCAACCTACCGAAAGGACTCTTCACCAGCCCAGCGGACTGCCAAAAGCGAGCGCACAGGATCAAGAAACTCCATGGAATGTTGCCCACACAGTCATATATGAGACACTGGAGGCCAGACCTTTATGAAGACGGCAACTGCAGAGTGTGTGGGACAGAGGATGAAGACACATCGCACATCTGGAGATGTCCAAGGACGATGGAGACTCAGGCCGAGAAGTGGAAGGAGATAATCCAAAATGTGAATGTGATAGGGGAGAGGACATGGAGGGAAGAGTTGAAAGCAGTGCAGGAGCAAGCACAAAGGGCCAGAGAGAGAGGTGTAGACCCACCAAGGACAAAAGAGCCAACTTTTACTGCGGTAGAGGAGGATTACATTTGGAAAACTCTAGAGATGCATATCGATGGTGTGCGAGAAGTACGACGCTATGGTGAGAGAGAGCACACACCAGATTGGTCTGTGCAGGACATTTACCATGGACTTACGCCCAAGTCCATTGCTCAGAGTTGGAAAGTTGGCTTCAAGACAACAACAAGGATAGCTACATATATGGCAGGGCGCTTTGTCAAGGCCATAGAAGAATTCGGTCCTACAGAAATCTGGAACAAACGGTGTAAAGTCGCCGTTGAATGGGAAAAGGCTCGTGGAATCACTGCTATGAGCAAACACGCTAGAGGAAGCAACTGTGTTGGGGAGCACAGATGTAGTAGCAATGATTTCCTTGTCCCTTCCCTCAGACAAAGACAGAAGCTGAATGTAAAAGAGACCTACAAGATCGCGGATGACCGAGTCCGGGACAGTTACCTTGGGAAAACCAAACTGGACGTGATGGAGCGGCTAGGTGGAATGAAGTTTTTGATGACTATGGATAGCGGATAATTTGTCGTGTTGCGCAACAAGCCACGTCGGAAAGGTGGACTTTGAGTACCAACCACGGCGGTCAGGGTTTATGAAATCATGGATACAGCGGTTCTTGTCGTTTGTGCAGTAATAGCTGTTTATTGACTATAGTTTCTGGAGCATTTTGTTCATAGAGTGTAGAAAATAAATCCCATGACCCTGAGGGTCCTTGTTATCAAAAAAAAAAAAAAAAAAAAAATATATATATAGCTCCCTGCTGGTTCGTGGTGGTTCTTCACACGAGGTGCCAGAGCTTTTAGTTGTTCATGCCTTTTATCAGCAACTAGCACTGGAACTTTGGAGGGGGTGTAGCAAGCATATTGCTGCAAGTGTGCCGTTTGACGCAATGTACAGGCGGGAAAGAAGGTGAGCTCAGGATTTTTTATTTTATTTTATTTTATTTTATTTTGTTGTTTTTTGGGTGTGTTTTTCGGTGGTAACAGATATTAGGGTATATTGCCGTGTTCAGAGTTAGGCTTTTAAGGTTTTAGTCGGACGATACATGGTGAAATAATGCACTGAATGAGGGTCCTCCTCCATCGGTCACTTGGATATCCGGTGCCTTGGATTCTTGCCGCTGCCACTCTGGCCCTTGCTGGCTCTGGTCCTGGGCTTGTCGGGGTCTCGCCGCTTTCTTCTTGTCTCGTTGGTACGCGCGTATCCAATCGTCGGCGGCGGCTCGTCGTCCGAATATCATCTCGAGATATCCGTCTTTGACTTGCTGTCCGTCCCCCTAGCTGACAGAACGCCACGAATATCGCCCACACCGCGACCGAGTGGATGTGGATCGCTAGTGACACCTCTTCCTCAATGTCGATTTGTGACCAACAGAGGATTCGGTCCTTGGCGGTTGTGCTAAACCGAGTTGTAGGATAGAGTGTTGTGAATTTAAGGTGCACTGTATTCCAAAAGGCTCTTAAAGCGGAGCTATCATGAAACGTATGCACATTGTCTTCTAGCTGGGTAGAGTCGCATCGGCGACAGAAGCCTTGTGTATTGTTATCATTCCAAATTCGTCTGATATTGTTGGTCAGCACCCTTTTGTGCGCTAACAGGAAAAGCAGATCTTTTCCTTATTTCACCGGTGCTTGTGGTGCAAGCGAGTGTACGTTGTCTACACCTGCGCCACTGTGAGGCTCCATGGCGTATTATCTCTCGTGAGGTCGTTGGTATCACGAAGGTTGTCCACTGAGTTGCCTTTTTTCAACAGCATTGGTTGGATTCTCCTGCGTGTCTTTCGAACTGTAAACTCTCCTAGTAGGAATGTTTTGCCTGCCAACCCTAAAGATAATGCTTCTTTCCGCTCCGTGCCAAAGTCTTTAGCTGCAATCCTTGTGGGTTATAGTGATGACCATGCATACAGTGCTTGGTGCCCACTAGGGCCTAGATCCCTGATTGGTTCAGGTTGTTTGAAGGGCTGTAGATAGCCAGTATTTATTAAATCAGGTGATTTACGACTGATCAAATAATTAAAAGTTGATTTAGAAGTTATTGCACTCTCATCACTTACCAAGTCTATCGCTCTCAGGTGGAAAGCCGGTTTCGGTTTCAAGACAACAACAGCCCTGAGTGACCTTGTTATAAAAAAAAAAGGGTCTCTTGACTAGATGGTTAACGAACTGGCTTTCTGCCCATGAATGATTAACGCTTTGGATCAAGGAAATAGTTTATATTATTATTATTATATTGTAGTGTATTTCATTACGCGTTTAGTCAGACTATAATTGTAAAAAGAAAAAAGAAAAGGGGAAGAAATATAATAGTAATAATGGTAATAATAATAATAATAATAATAATAGTAATAATAATAAAATAATCATGATTTTTCTGATCATCTTTTCAAGATCTTAAAACTAATGTGTTTCCTCTCTATCTCCCAGAGAAAATCAAGAAGACCGACACAAAGGAAAGAAGTCATTTAAAAGAATGTTGATATTTGTCTTTTTTTTTTTTTTTTTTTTTTTTTTTTGTTGTTGTTGTTGCTGTTGTTGTTTTTTTTACTTGGTAGCAAAGCCAAAGCCCTTCTTCTTGGTCTTCTCTGGCGTGAGGGGACGGCCCTGCTCGATCCGCCTCTTCTTCTCTTCCAAATCCAGACGTTGTTTTTCAAGTGCGTCCTTCATCTCCTTGTGCTTGGCATAGAGCTCGGCTTCGGACTGTGTCAACTTGGCTTCCTTCTCTTGGACCTTCTGTTGGAAGACATGTTTCATATCCTGCTCCATCTTGATCAGCTTGGCTTCATGCAGAGCGCGTTCCTCTTCCAACTTGGCCAAAGGATCTACCTCCTTGAAGACAGTGTTGTCCTGCTGATAGCCCATGGCAAGCAACTTCTCTGTGCGGTAGTTCTCATAGTGAATGTCATTTGTGAACTCACGAAGTTCCTCCATGTGCGTGCGGATCAACATCTGACGAAGCTTAACAAAGTCGCAGTGCTCTTCATTATCGACCTCAATGATGCCCCATGGATATTTACGACCACGAACCTGGCGGCCATCAGAAGTCTCAACGAGCCTGTCAGAGCCAACAATTGCAAAAGGGATCTTGCTCTAAATAAAGTCCGTTAGGAAGGAGGGAAAAGAGAAAGAAAAAAGCATATATCATTGAGTAAAAATGCTTGTTTGAGCCCAGAATAGACTTTAAATATTGTGGGGAAAGGTCTCCCATACCATGACATCCTTGGTTTCATTGATGGTTTCGATGTCATCGCAGTCGTAATGCTGAGCGTGATAGATCTTGATATCGTGATGAGCAATATCCAGAAGAATCTAGAAGCAATTTCCAAAGAAAAAGAGAATGCTTTTTAAGTCCATATTTTAAAGGTCTTTGATACAAGAAGCTAGGAAAAGCGTTGTAGTAGCATCACAGTGTTGTGGACATACTCTCTCCTTGAAAGCGGTGATCTCCTCATTAGTCATGGTATCACTCTTGGCAATGACGGGGATCAAGTTGACCTTGTTGTGAAGACGCTTCATGAACTCAATATCAAGAGACTTGAGAGAATGACCAGTAGGGGCAATGAAATATAAGCAGGCATTAACACGGGTGTCAGTGATTTTGCTGCGGTTGACTCTGTTCTCCTGCTCAAGATATGCGTCAAACCGGCTCTCAATGGTCTCCAAGATGGGCTTCCAGCTAGATGTGTAGGGTAAAATAAATGTAAAAAGTGGTTTTAGCATTGTGTATTCTTTGTCAAAATACAAAATACACGTGTTGTTTATGCTGTCTTAAAAACTACCTTTCTTCGTTGTTGATAAAGTCACCAAAGCCAGGGGTGTCAACAACATTAAGCTTCAAGCGGACGCCATTCTCCTCAATATCGGTGCTCAAGACTTGGATGCTAACGGTCTTGGGACTCTCATCTGAAAGAGGAACATGCTCCTTGGGAGGGTAAAGAGGGGCATTGAATAAGGTGTTGACGAGCGTTGACTTGCCAAGACCAGATTCACCTAATGAAAATGTCCAAGAAAAGCAAAGAGTCACGTCATTAGGTTAGAAGTGGTTTCGGAAACCTGTAAAAAGGAAGTTTGTTCTTTTTTTTATTTTGCGTCCATGATGAATGAATTATGGGCTGAAAACGATTTTTTTGAGAATCCTGAAAGCTTAAGGTCTTTCCTGGTTCTCTCTTCAATGAGTCCACCCAAATGAAACATGCCACCCTTTTTTTTTTTTTTTTTTTTTTTCTGAAGACATCTCAAGTAACAAGCAAGTACACAACATGGTTTATTAATATCCCTGGATTGGGTCTGCGAGCCCATCTTTTCCGAGCAAAAAAAAAAAAAAAAAAAAAAAAAAAACAGACACCATAAAGAATAGGACGAGAGCAAAGACGGCTCATTTTTTAAAAAAAAAAAATAGCGTTGTTTTTGTCCACTATTGTTAGTGCAGTAGTAAATGTCTGTTCTGCAGAGCAGCAAGAGATCTGACTTACCAACAACCATGATGGTGAAGTTGAAGCCTTTCTTCACGGACTTGCGGTGGACCTGGTTAGGGAGGTTGGCAAAGCCGACATAGCCTTGCAATTTCTTGCGAAGAGGGCCACTGATCGCGGGCTGTTGATATTAAAAAAAGGAAGCGTTTGTTAATAGCTTATTCATTAAACAAGCTTGAAAGAGTGATTGCCCGTCCATCATTCGTGGTTGCAGTATTAAGAATGGAGCATTTGTCTATAGACCAGCTGAAAAAGCAATGCCATCCTGAACAGTCAACTCTGTCTGTCTGTTACATTATGAATACACAAGAAAGAGGAAAGTCGTGTTTCTCATTCATTCAGCTCATTCTTGGTGTTTTTTTTGCTCAAGTAATGCTTTGTTATGGACCAGATCCCCCCTCTTTTTCTTTTTCTTTTTCTTTTCTTTTCTTTTCTTTTTTTTTTTGTCTTCGTCATATACTGAAATTCAAAACGATCGAGGGGTGATGTTGACAATGAAAGAGAGATAGAGATAGGAACGAGCGAGGGACAAGCATGCAACTGATTGATAAATAAAATATTAAATGGGAAGATTAGCTTGCCTTGGAAGTAGGAGGGGTCATTGGGAGAGCTAATTATTGTCACAAGATATACAAAGATACAAAAAAGAAAAGAGAGAGAGAAAGAGTAAGAGAGAGTTAGTTTTGTAATTGAATGGGGACATCTGACGGGAACAAATGGGATGAAGAATGAGAGATGATGTACTTACGAACTTCGCTAGCCATGGTTATAAGAATGTAGTGTGGAAGTAAAAGTGAGAAAGAATAGATGAAGGATTAGATGAGCTGAGGGGGTGAAGTTGAAAAAAGTATAGAGTTAGCAAGGGGTGCTGTGTGAGGGCAAATGATGATTAGAAATATGGAATGAGGGAGGATCAGAAGGATGGAGTAGAGATGATGGAAAAAGAAAAAAGAGAAGAGAAAAGAAAGAAAGAAAAAAAAAAAAAAAAAAAGAGGAAGAAAAGGGCTTGTATCACAGATTGGGAAATAGAATAAAAAATAAAAAAAAAAGATTGAGAGCAGAGCAGAGACCATACAACTTCAAGCTTACATGGGTCACCAATGCCTATTTTAGATCCACATTGCAACATGCATTAAAAAAAAAATTATACATGTTTATGTATACCATACCATCTTTTATCTTTTTTTTTTTTTTTTTTTTTTTACGGACATGCCATGTATGAACCAATTCGGTGTGATGTATCATATCAGGACAATTTGATTTGATGGAACATACGCTTTGTTAGTCTATTGCAGCAAGCGAGCAAATAGCCATGGCATCACATTAACGGTAGAAAAAGGAGCGAGTCAAGAGCGAAAAGAGATCAAGAGATAAAGAGAGACTTGTTTGAGCGATTGACCATCAACTTCACGCTCTCTCTCTTTCTTCAAACATTAAGCATCAGACATCAAACATCAAACACCAAACATCAAACATCAAATCATAAGCAATCCTCTCGGCTTTTTAATTGTGGCTCTGCTCTTTTTCTTTTGCTCAATATTCAATATTCTAATATTGAGTTTCTTATTTCTGCTTGCTCTCGTTGCTCCACGTGATGTCTCCAGGGAAGATCAAATGACATCAAGGGGAGCCGGCTCCCTTGGACCTTGTCAGATGTCTACAAAAGATGGAATGACAGGAGATAATGGATATTAACGAAAATAGTCATAATATAATATCTATAACAAAATAAAATAAAATAAATAAAGCTATTTCCATCTTTGGACAAAGCAAACAAAATAAAGAAGTTTTTGACTTTTTTTTTTTTTTTTTTTTTTTTTTTTTTTTAGCAATGCAAACCATGCAATATTTCTTTGGCGGGAACACATTGCTAAATTCATGCCTGCATATTTTTTTTTTTTTTTTTTTTTTTTTGAGAAAAAAAAGACGCGGGACCCGTCGTCGAGAGAGTAAAATATTCCCGTTTCCAAACTGTTCAGGAACAAAATAAAAGAATTGGGTCGCGATCTTACGACCTGCATGATTGCATTGTGCCTCTCGCGTCAATTATGTGTATACCATTATCAACTTCCTTCATTACATCATCATCCAAATAAAAAATAAAATAAAATAAAAAACCGCGTCTACAAAAATGATTTTTTATACTTCTCCCTCCCTCTCTCTCCTTCTTTCTTTTCTTTCTTATTTCCGTAACTATTACATCTCTACTTTTTTTTCCTCCATCATCAGAGCCTCAAAAGTGGTCCTTTCTTTCTTTCTTTCTTTCTTTCTTTCTTTCTCTCTTTCTTTCTTTAAATCTTTATTTCCATCATTCAGATAAGGATGTCTCAAGATCCCAATCAAATGTCAAAGACAGAAGTCTTCACAAAACTTCTCATGAAAGATCATCGTGTCAAGATCGCTGGCATAGATCTGGACGGTATCTTTCGTGGCAAAATCATGGCAAAGTCCAAGTTCTTGTCAGTCCTTGAATCTGGCTTTGGCTTTTGTTCTGTCATCTTTGGTTGGGATATGCATGATCAGACCTACCCTGAGGAACTAAGTGTCTCGAATGCAGCAAATGGTAAACAAAAGAATGTTGCTTCTCTCTGTCTTTTGTCCTCTCAATTCGACATCAAATATTTGACTAAAAACTAATTTTTGTGTTTTGGCTACATGAACTAAATTAGGCTACAGAGATATTATTGCTGTACCTGATCTCTCAACTTTCAGACGCATTCCTTGGGAGAACAACATCCCGTTTTTCTTATTGTCATTCCTAGACCCTGCTACAAACGAGCCCCTCGCTGTCTGTCCTCGCAGTGTCCTTAAACGAGTAACAGATGAATTGGCGTCAATGGGCTGGGAAGCCATGTGTGGAGCAGAATTCGAATTCTTCAACTTCAAAGGTAAATTAGCTTGCTAATATATTCCGGTTGCTTTTTTTTTTTTTTTTTTTTTTATTTTTCCTTCATGAGGAAAGTATCAAAGACATGGAACATCAGACAGAACACCACAGTTTTCATCTATGACGCGGAGATGGGTGATAACGATGTAAAATGTCTTGATTTTTAACCTTCTTTCTTTCTTTTTTTCTTTTTTTTTTTTTTTTTTTTTTTTTATATATCTAATTATAACAGAATCACCAGAAGCACTGGAGGCGAAGGGGCATACTAAACCAAAAAAGTTGACACCAGGGATGTTCGGCTACTCTCTCCTTCGCCCATCCTTAAATCAGGAATACTTTTATGACATCTTTGATGAATGCAAGAAATTTGACATCAACATTGAGAGTCTTCATACAGAAACAGGTACATTATATTCCAATTCTATTTTTTCGTGGGAAAAAATAATACTCGGGGCTTGGGAATGAAACTAGTAAAAAAAAAAAAAAAAAAAAAAAAAAGAAAAAAAAACTGGATCTTTTCACACACCACTTACTGTCCTCTCCAATTATACTCTTTTTTTTTTTTTTTTTTTTTTTTTTTTGTGATGAAAAACAGGTCCTGGAGTGTTTGAAGCAGCACTGTCGTATGATACTGCGGTTAGGATGGCTGATATGGCCAGCTTGTTCAAATTATCCGCGAAGCAACTGGGCATTAAACATGGAATCATGCCTACGTTCATGGCAAAACCATATACTGATCAACCTGGGTGCTCAGGACACCTTCACTTCTCGCTACGTGATATTGCTTCCCGCACCAACCTCTTTGCTGCCGGCCTTAACAGCGATAGTGAAGAAGAAAAAGGAGCAGCGGCATCAACAGAGGGCCAGGACAGACCAGAGTGGGAGAAAACTGTTGAGGGAGTCCAATATATGAGTCAGGTGATGAAGTGGTTCGTTGCAGGGCTCCTGACTGGACTGCCAAGTATCATGGCTATTCTTGCGCCCAACATCAACTCTTATAAGCGTCTAGTGGAGAATTACTGGGCACCCGTCACAGTCTCCTGGGGGATCGAGAGTCGTGTCTCTGCCATTCGGGTGATTGGGCCACCTCAATGTGATCCAAAAGGTACTCGTCTCGAGATGCGCGTTGGTGGTGCGGATATCAATCCTCATTTAGCTATTGCTGCCTGTTTAGCAATGGGTTTGTACGGTATCAAGAACAAACTGCCCCTGCCCGTAGGACCCACGACAACAACAGCAACAACACAAAACAGTGGTACCAACGCCAATGCCAAGAACGAACGCCTACCAAAGTCATTAAAGGAATCTGCTGAGGCTATGCTTGCACCAGATTCACTTGCTAGGAAGGTCTTGGGCGACGCATTTGTGGATCATTATGGGGCTACGAGGTTAAATGAGTACAGAATCTGGGAAACATCCGTGACAACTTGGGAGACAAAGCGTTACTTCGAGCTCGTATAGAAACAAAAGTGTGTATTTGTAAAAATATATATAAATATATATAAAGATAAATAATAAATAAAAAAAAAATAATCACATTGATCATGCATCCCTGTGTCATGTCGTCTGATTAGCAGGGCAATAATTGGTATGCATTATGCATTATGCAAAGAAGGTCATATTTTTGTTTTTCTGTATCAATGCATATGCATAACATTGTCGTAGTAACCGTAGAAATGGTGACAATAGTGGTAGCAAAAAAAAAGAAAAAAAAGAAAAAAAAAAAAAAAAAAAAAAAGAAGCCCCATATTGCAACAAAACTGCTGTCATTATCAAACGCAACAACTTCGGCAGGCTGTAACTTTACCAGTAAGGACAGCCCAGGGTCTTTTTACGGGTGTCTGACCGATTGGGGAAGCAAAGCACAAAGCACAAAGTAAAATTTCAATTTTTTGTTTTGGCACAGAAAAAGAAAAAAGAAAGTTGCCGAAGAAAAGTAAAAAAAAAAAAAAAAAAAAAAAAGACCCTTTTGCACAAAGAAGGGAATAGGAAAGGACATTGGTTAGGAAGGTCAACAGACAGAAGAAAGACAAAAGGAGAGGAAATTGGTTCTACTCTCGCTTACTGTTCTCAAGCATGTCATAGTGCATTAATGCAATTAAGATCGAATGCCACAGCCCACACAAACACACACAACAACATGCACACATTCACATTCGACACATTCTCCACTTGCCGAAGACAGAAACACAAACACAAACACAGACGCAAGCGCACACACACATCTATTCACCTGCAAAAATGCAAAAGGGTCCTTTTTTTTTTTTTTTTTTTTTTTTGTGGTCTCGATTGCATTGCATTATCTCTGAAATAAAGTATTCGGAGATCTCTCCGAAAGGGTCTTTCTATCCTTTTCTTTTAAAGTTGGGCTTTCTCCTTTTTTTCTTTTAGTCGATTGTCGTGTTAAAGAGTACATGTACTTTTCCTGTCCTGTCATCCAATAGGATTTCGTCCTTTCTTTTTTTTCTGCCAAGAATCGAGGATCGACAACAAAGGGTCTCTCAATGACGATTCAGCAGTGGTAAAAAAAAAAAAAAAAAAGGTATGTCAACCAGAGCCCTAAACCTTGCATTAATGCAATTAACTAAATTCAGGGAGACCCAAGACTAGGTGAGGTCTTTGTGTTCCAGACACAGATCGCATAAACAAAAAAAATAAAAAAAATAAAAATTACAATTGCATGTTTACAATACTCATCCAGTAAACGTTCCATTGAGATAAGATATTGAGTTTAAAAAATCCAATGGACGATAGGAGAAGTGAATGTTACATTTTACATTTGCCTTTGCATGAATGGTGACCAGGTCGAAGGTTTGGAAGGGCAAGGAAAAAAAAAAAAAAAAAAAAAAAAATAGAGGGAGAATGTATACAAATGTTTATAAATGATGCTTTTCTGTGGCGAGGGAGGGGATGAGGTCAGAGGTCAGAGGTCAGAGAGGGCCTCTTTCCCTAACTGTGCACAGCTCCAAAAGAATTTTAACTGCTCAGCCTGCAGGTTACTGGTTGTGGAACATTTTTTTTATCAGAGGGACGAAAGCGAGTCCGTGGAGAGAGAAAAAGAGGTTTGGGAGATTTTTTTAGGATGCATTCGACATACACAGTCATATCTACTGCGAGCAGAGACACGCAGACGATTGGACCAAAGAGTGTACACACAGTACGCAATAACAGCTGAAAAGGAGTAAAGAGAGAGGGAGATTACCAGATCAATTTGTTTAGACGTTAACAGACCGGAGTACAGAATAAACTAGAAAAAAAAAGGCGAGGCCAAGCAAAGTCTAGAGGAATGCATAAATGTTTGAATGCTTGTGTGGGAGGGTGAGTGTGTGTATGAGAGAGGGGGCACATTCAACAACTACAGCCCCTGCAGTGCCGCGCTTTTTTAAAAAGAAAAAAAGGTAAATGTACACAAAGATTACTTTCTGAACCCAAAAAAAGCAAGCCTGTTATTCAAAAAGGAGTTTTAGAGTAGCATCATTGGTATGCAGATGAGTCTTGATGAGTACAAGGACAATTCTTACCGCAGCTGAGCACTTTAAGAAACCGTTCTAGTATAAAAAGGGAGCCGTTCCTCCAAAAAAAAAAAAAAAAAAAAAAAAAAAAATTAAAAACTGAAAAATCATCTTTGTATCATTCCCATCAAGCAAGAGGCTCTATAGAACCCAGGAAGAAAAAAAAAAAGAAAAGAAAGAGCAGAGAAAAGAACCTTCTATATACACATTCATCTACACAGTTAAAGATCTACGGCTTGCCAGCTATTTCCTTGCACCCTTACTTTACAACACAACGCTTTTTTTTTTTTTTTTTTTATTGCTTTATTATATTTTCCTATTTTTCATAGTTATTACTATCTCATTTTAATACTGGTTTCTGATACAGCAACATTCAGCACGAAATGGCATTTTAAGTGAAAACAGATAAAGTATACCAGCATCCTCAACAACAACGGCAAAATCAGGATCTTTATACCCTTCCCAGGTAAAACCCAAATTAGTTTAGTTCCTGTTTCCTAATTGTCTCGGTTATGTTGTGCGGTGATTTTTTTTGTGAACTGTCTGCTGAAGCCGCAGCAGTTTGAGCGTATTTTTTTTTCTTTTTTTTGTGACTTCCATTCTGGAGGCGCTGCTCTATATTCTAATTGCGGGTCCCCTATATTGCAGGATGACAATGAAAGTTAGTAAAAACGGTTCCCTCTTCCCGATCTTGGCTTCTAATTAAATACTAGGAGAACAAAAAAAAAAAAAAAAAAAAAAAAAAAAACGTTGTGTTAACATATTTAGCCATGATATACATTTAATATTCATGTCATGCCAGTGTTGTCGGTGTATTGATATGCATTACATCGAAAATGGAGATTGAGAGCAATCGACTGCGTCGCATTTTTTTTTTTTCTTTTGGGTCGGTTGGCTGTGCAAAGCCGATCACAACCAGAAAAGCATAAATAGACCTTTTGATGGGCTCATTTGGTTCTTTCTCTTCACCTCCTCTTTTCCTTCCCTTCACTCATCCATCCTCCACCCTTCTTTCTCTTCCCTTCTCTTACATTGTTGTTTGTTTCATTGCTTTAACGTCCGGCTGTTGTTCGTTGTTGTTCTTCAGCCGTGTACTTCTCTGTTCGCTTGTTAGCAAAGTCAATTCACTTTGATTTTGCTCTTCTCTCTCACTCTTTCGTCTCAGTCACTGTTGTTCGTTGTTGTCATCGGTGACCAAGTCAAGCTACTACAAGTTCATACAACCATCACCCCACCTATTTTCCCTTCATCTACAAGGCGACACTTGCAATCCTTTTTTCTGTATTGTGCCTTGGGCTTGACTGTAGAGACGAAAAATTAAAAAGGAAAAAAAAAAAAAAAAAACGAAGCATCTCTTTCTGTGGCGGCCCTTCATTTGTTTTTTCTTTTTTCTTTTTTTTTTTGTTCACTTTGAGTGATTGAGGTAACAGGTGTTTTCATCTCTTGTTCTATACTGTAAAATCTTTTTTTTTTTTTTTTTTTTTTCCCTCTTTTCTTTGGTTGTTGTTGGTCAAGATAATCTGCTTGATTCTCAAAAAGAGTAAGGTTATCATCATCATTCGTCCTCACCAAGTTTGAAATTATCCACGGAAAAGCTTACAGCTTTGCCACCATATTTCCTTTCTAGTCAAAACACCCCTTATTCCTGCTTTTTTTTTAAAAAAAAACACATTGTCTACCACGTATCAGTCGACCTTTCTTGCCTTCCTTCAGATTATTTTAAAAGTATTGATAACTGACCTTTGGTTTCTTCTTTCACTCTATCACCTGCTCTAGACACTGCTATCTCCTCTATTCCCCTAATTTAACCTTCAATTTTATCACCATGGATAAGCTTAATATGGCCCTTATCGCGGAGGCTGGCCTTTTCGATGGCTATAACCAGTCTGTCTTCCCTTTGGAATCATCAATGACCGAGACCTTCTCTAATACCGCCTCTTGCACTGCGGTCGAACACATCATGAACAATAATGACCTTTCTTTTCCGAGCAACGAACTCGCTTTTGCTCCCTGGGACATGATGACTTCCAAGCTTCAAATGCAGCAAGCTGCGAAAGCAGTCCTTAGTGTCGCTATGGACCTCACACCCGAACTGTCTCCTGCCACAAGACTGTGCACCCCCGCTGCAAACACGCTTCAATCCCCGTTTGCTTTTGATACCCTTGGTCTTGATGAGTTGGGCGCTAGCCCTTCTATAGGATGGTCATCGCCTATGGATGGTGGCTTTGGTAGCCAACAGTCTCAGGAGAGCCTCGACTTTGTCACTGATTCGTCTCAAAACTCTTGCCTCTGGCCGACCCAAGACTTTCCTCTCTTTCCAGAGGGCTCTGCTTCAGTAATCAGCCTGAACCAGATCTTGATGGCCCCTGCTCCTTCTGATATGGCAATGTCTGCTATTGAGGAGTCACCAAACATGTGCAAGTTTGAGCAATTGTCGCCGTTTGGTTCTTCCACTGCTAGCCCTATCGTGAGCGAATACGCTGGACTGTTTGGTGATGAGCCTTGTCCGATGGTTGATGCCTCGTCTGACGTTGATGCCAAGCGCCTGATCGCCAAGAAACGTCGTAGACGCCGTATTACATCTGAGGAAGGTGCCCGTGTGATTCCAGAGGGTGCTATTGATGATTCCGAGGCCTTTGTCCGGTACAAGTGCTCTATCTGCGACAAGACATTTTCGCGTCCCTTTAACCTGCGCTCTCACCGTGCAACTCATGCTGGAGTCAAGCCCTTTATGTGTTCTTTTGTGGATGAGAAGGGTGAGGCCTGCAACTGGTCCTTTGCTCGTCGACATGATCTTGAGCGTCACATGCGTAGCCGTCACTCTGGAGAGAAGCAGTTCAAGTGCAGGAACTGTGGCTCGGGATGCGGTAGACACGATGCCTATAAGAGACATCTTCAAAGACATCCTCATTGCGCAATGGCTGTCATGTTGGAGGAACAGCAACGGCAGCAAGTGCAGCCGCCTTCCTCGGAAATATGTACTCTAGACGTTTGATTGGGAGGGAAGGAAGGAAGGGAGGGTGGGGGAAGCCATTAGTATTTCTCGTCAGTTTTGAGTGTGCGCGCTTTTAAGAAGCGACTGCCAGAACAAATGAGGGATATAACAGAAGCTATGGTATCCTAATGAGAGAGGTTGCAGCATCGGAAATGGTTACTACTGTTATCCAACAATAGCAATCAGTGTATTAACAGCAACAGCAGAAGTAATGACAAGAACAACAACAACAACAACAGCAGCAGCAGCTAGAAGAAGAACAAAAAGAACAAGAACAAGAACAAGAACAAGAACAGCAATAACAACAACAACAACAACAACAACAACAACAACAACAACAGCTTTGAAGATTTGGTTGATAGGAACAGCAGTGAAAGCGATCGTTACGACAAGATCCGTCAAAACATTAGGGGGAGTTCGACGAAAGGGAGAGAAACGTGATCATAATCTCCGACCCAATCCAAGGCTATTTTCCGAATTTGTCTAGCCAAGGACTCCCATTTTCTCACACCCAATCCAACTTGCATACAACTCCACTTCCTTCACCTTCATAGTGAATGCAACCTTTTTTTTTTTTTTTTTTTATAGTTGATTCTGACTCATGGTTAGAATCTGTGCTGCTACTGCCGCAATTAGGACGTAGCCTTTTTTTTTTTTTTTTTTATACACCATTTTTCTTTTTTTACTTTTCTTTTCTTTTTTTTTTTTTTTTTTTTGTGTTTCATCTTGTCTTGAGAGTTTCTGTCATTCCTTATTGTTGATATTTAATTTTTTTTTGTATTTTTACAGTAGTGATTTTTTCTTTCTTTTAAATCTACAAATATCTCATAAAACGAACAAGATTAAGACAAACAGATTACTTGTGGCAACGGAGCGTCATGGTCATTCGAATGAGGTTTAGAGTAAGGTAGTGGTCCATAGTCAATCGAGCTGACGGGTCTCGACAATGTTCAAAGCAAAAAGTATATGTACAATGACAAACATGTTTGTGTTTTGTGTTTGTGCTCAGAAAAAGGAAAAAAAAAAAAAAAAAGAAAATTTACTGTTGTCTGTCCACTTGAGCCTTTTTTTTTTTTATTTTGCAAATTGCGCAGAGCCATGTAAGGTGCTGCGGCTGTTTCGTTGATGTGTTTTTAGATTTCCCAGTCACATTCACACGCGTTTCCTGCGATTCTTTTCAATGAAGAGGCATAAAGGCATGTTCTGCCGCCGGTTGTAGAAAGTACTCTTTATCAACAGCAGCATTAGAAGTTGATAGAAGAGCCTTTTCTTCTTTTCTCTTCCTTATCCTTATCTCTATCCTTTTCTTTTTGAATGTGGACCATTTTCTCCTTCCTTCATTCTCCTTCTCATTCTTCTCATTCTCTTCCTCATTCTCTTCATTAGTACTTTCATTTTCCACCTTTTATTGATTTTTTTTTTCTTTTTTTTTTATTATTATTATTATTATAATATTATTATTTTGACTTTCGTCATTCCGTTGGTCGGCGCCCCCGTCTTTTTTTTTTTTTTTTTTTTTTTTTTTTTTTACTTTTTTCCCTTTCTTTTTTTTTCCTTTACCCTTCTCCAACTTTCGCTCGTTTGCTCCCAAAGGGATCTTTTTTTTTTTTTTTTTTTTTTTTTTTTTCTTCCTTTCTTTTTCTCATTTCAAATTGACTACTTTTTCTCTTTGTAAAAAAAAAAAGAAATACAACCCTCATCTCAACACATTTACCCAACGGTCTTCATGTATTCCCGATCCATAACCGAGCCGCCTCACGGGGTTTACAATGACACGGCTCATTCGTCCACTGAGGCCCCCTTACGAGATGCGACCTTATTGGTCTCTCTACGTGAGACTAGAAGCCATAGTCCCGTCCATCGTTCCATGGATAGTTCTCATAGACATGACAGAGTAGGCCGGCAAGAAGATAACCCTTACAATATAGATACAGCCTATCGCCAGCCACCGCCACCTTCTTCTTCCTTATCAGCCGCGCCATCGTCGTCTTTTTCCACGGTTATTCATCCTTTTCATCCTACCAACGTCTCTTCCTCTCTGTCTCTGTCTCAACCCAAGTCTCAACCTCAACCTCAACCTCAGCCTCAACCTCAGCCTCAATCTCAGCCCCAGTTCTCATATTCTGAACGTCGAGCAGCCAGTCCACCCCCACGCCCAATCAGGTCCTCAACTATGAGCATCTCCTCCCTTCTTTCAGAAGAAAGTGAAACACCAACTCTCCAGCGTCGATCAAGTATCTCCAACTCTGAGAATGACACCGATATGGACCCAAGCGAATCATTAGATGGTCAAGAAGAAGATGATAACGAGGCACCGACAGCAGAAGATACACTTATGATGAAAGAAGGTACACAAGCTTTTCTAATGTTGAGTCGCATCTTGCAAAAGCCTATTGAAATGGAAGATATCATCGACTTATTGGTCGCTCAGAAGGTAAGAAATAATGATATAAAAGCCTATTAGTCCACATATCGATTTTAAAAAAAAAAAAAACTACGCTGCATTTGTCTCATTGCCAGACTAAGCAAGCTATGAAGAAAAAACAAAATGTTTCAAAGCCAGATGGATCCTTTCTCTTGTTTTTTCTTCCTCATGCGACCCCATCATCCCTTTCCTGCACATGCACATGTCTAATTTAAGTAACTGACAGAAGGAGGGCGCAGATATATATATATATATATAAAACGGGGAAAGGGAGAGAATCTTTAACACCACATAAATCATGTTTCTAACTTTTTCCTTTTTTATTTTTATCCATAAACCAATAAACTAGGCAATTCTTATTCTCCCAACATGTCCTGCATCCTCAACACAGTCAACGCCTACAAGGGCTCTTTACGAGGACCATGTCATCATCCCAGAGTGCCATGATGATGAGTGGCTCTTTGTCACACTTAGCGGCATCCGCCTTAGACCTTCACTTTCTACCATCACCATCCTAGGACCAATAGTGGATCATGACGTTACTATGTCGGAATCTGGTAATCCTCAACAGCTACAACAACAACAACAACAACAACAACAGCAACAGCAGGTTATTCAGGGCGGTGCACCTAAAAAGCCATTGCAATCGAAAATAAATGATTCTTCAATAGCTACTTCTACAGCTCAGTCATTACCATCACAATCATCATCATCATCAGTACCATTGCCATCAATATCAGCAACCAATAGCTCATTAGTTACACATGCTAATGTAGGCAAGGAATTAAGTCTTGTCAATAGCAGCAAGAGACCTATGGCAATGGACCTCAAGTCTGTTGGGTCAATCCATGCGCTTCTAGTCAATGATATCATCCCAAGCTTGCCAATCCTCAAAGGAAACGAAGGCAAGGGAAAAGAGCGGGTAGCAGCAGCAGCAGCAGCACCAGCTACAACGTCAACAGTCTCTATGGCAGCATCAGCGAAATCTGCTGGCAATTCCACAATGATTATTGACATGCGGGGAGTAGTCAAACGACGACGTCGTCGTCGAGTCACGACCGAGGAGGCAGCTCGAGTTGTGCCTGAGGAATTCAAGGATGATCCGTATGCCAGAGCGCGATACAAGTGTAGTATCTGTGAAAAGACGTTTTCTAGACCCTATAACCTACGATCCCACCGAGCGACCCATGCGGGGATCAAGCCATATGAATGTACATACAAAAGTGAAACAGGAGAGCTTTGTAATTGGAGATTTGCACGACGTCATGATTTGGAACGACATATGAGTAGTCGACATGCGTTTGACAAGCCATTTAAATGTAAAGGTTGTGGAGCCGAATGTGGACGGAATGATTCTTTGAAACGGCATTTGGAGAAGAGCCTGTCTTGTAGAGAAGCTATGGAACGAGATAAAGAAGCACAGGCACAGCAACAACCACAGCAGCAGCAGCAGCAGCAGCAGCAACGGAGAGGAGGACAGATAAAGTCGTCATCTGTAGCTGATAAAAAGACAATAGTAGCAACGCCCATGATGATGGAAAAGACTGTGCAAAATGATTACAGGGTTGTTTCATCAGATATGCAGGAGGGGGACAGGGATCGGGATCGGGATCGGGATAGGGATAGGGATAGGGATCGGGATCGGGATAGGGATAGGGAGCGCGGACGAGGACCGGGGATATTGAGGCCAATTTTATCAAAGCATGAGCTAGGGACTTGTACACAAGAAAAATTGCCGTCTATATCTGAATTGAAGCAAGAATCAGGCCTTGATCAAAAGAGGTTACCGTCAATTTCAGAGTTGAAGATGAACCCAGGACATGATTGACACAAAATGAAAGAAAAAGAAAGGAAGAAAGAAAAAAAAAAAAAAAAAAAAAAAAAAAAAGATTCAAGGAAACCAGGAAACCAGAAAACCAAACCAGGAAACCAGGAAAACAAAAGATAAAAAAGAAAGAAAAAAAAAAAAAAGTAACCTTTAAGTTACTTTTACATTTGCATTTGCTCAAAAAAGAAAAAAAAATAAGAAAGCTATTGCAACCTTTCAAATTTTCAATGTTATAGTTGCGGGAAAGATGCTCACTTTAGATAAATATATATCGATAATGACATTAAAAAAAAAGCCTATCTATGATAATATCGCAGAGGTTTACAATACATTCATTAGCTGTAAAGTCCTAATACTTAAATATGTGATATCAGTGATAAAAGATACATCGTAAGCCACGTGTACTTCAAATATCTTTCAAAGAAGCTTCTACACTTTGGTTGGTTTAGTTACTTTTAGCCCTGGAAACAAAAAATTAAGGAACAGCTTAGTTATATAAATATAATATGAACAATAATAACTTAGTTCAATTGTTTAATCAATAACCTAAAAAAAAACGTTTTTGTAACGTAAAACAAAAAACACGTGTGGACTTCAAGCAAATAAACAAAATAAACAATATATATAATATATATAATATGTTATTACATTAATATTATATATATGTATTATGAGCGCCCGTTGGTACTCACGCACAGACCACAGACTCCTTTCCTCTTCTCTCCTCTCCTCTCCTCTCCTCTCCTCTCCTTTCCTTTCCTTTCCTTTCCTTAAAACATTCTTCCTCATAGGCTAGACGTAACCATAGTCGTAATAAGAGAAGACTTTGTGAAATCTGCAAAAGGGGTTTTCCAACACGATCTTATCCTTCTTCAATGTCACTTCACCCCAATGTCAAGACTAATTGATTAATTTTTTGGACTCTAATCCAGCTGGTGGTAATATTATGTGTTATAGAATAGAATTGATACAGTTGTCATCATGGTAATAGTAATAGTAATAGTAATAGTCATAGTAATAGTCATAGTCATAGTCATAGTCATAGTCATAGTAATAGTCATAGTAATAGTCATAGTAATAGAATAGCTATAGTATTATAGTAAAAGTAATAAGTGATGGTCACATTATTAAAAGTAATGATCCTAATCATCATCATCATCATCATCATCATCATCATCATCATCATCATCATCATCATCATCATCATCACCATAACGACAATGTTCATAAATAACAGAATTTCAAGTTCAACTTATCAAGCCAGGAAAGAGAAAGAGTTAAATATAGCAGGATTATTATCCGATTTGTTTTGTTTTGTTTTGTTTTGTGATTTTTTTTTTTTTTTTTTTTTTTTTTGTGCTGTCGTAGCTATATAGATGGTATACATGCAGCACCGAATTCAGATCAGTAGGGCGGCGCAAGCCATGTGAACGGACGTTAAATGAGATTGCATTATTCATATGATGAATATAAAAATGAAGAAAAAAAAAAAAAAAGAAAAGAAAAGAAAAGAAAAGAAAAGAAAAGAAAAGGAAAGGTCAAACTGGTTGAAGCAACAGCAATGGCGAGACGGCCAAAATTAGCCTTGGCCTGATTCTATTCTATTCTTTGTTTCTTTTTTTATGTTGCGGGAGTGAGATAGAAAAAAGAAAAGAAAAAAAAAAAAAAAAGAGAGATGTGGGGCAGGAAGGTGAATGTTTATGGTGGTTGAGGCTGCTGATGGTGGCGTATTTTTCAAGATACACGTGAATTTAGAAATACCATGTCGAAGTTCTGATCTTTGGTGTCAACATTGCCTATTGGCCCTTTTTTTTTTTTTTTTTTTTTTTTTTTTTTTGAATACTTACCCGATTTCTGGTAAAAAAAAAAAAAAAAGGCGAAAAGGAGAAACGCGAAAAGGGAGAAACACCTTTGCAATTACATCTAAAACACAAAAAATAAACGGGTCCCACCGTACGCGCATTTGTAATCCAGTTATTCACATGGAAGTATGAATTAGCTTTTTTTTTCTTTCTTTCTTTCTTTCTTTCTTTCTTTTTTCGTACTTTGGCTTGGGGCAAGAAGGGTTCTCACGATGAATCTAATTTTCAAATCACTAATATACATGTACACGTCCTTTGATTGGCCTTGGGCGAAGCTGCGGATTGTGGAGAATGTGGTCCAAAAGCGCCTTTCTTTCATGTGTCCCCCATTAATTTTTCTTTTCGTTCTTCGTGTTACAGATAAACATGAACGGACTGGGCCATGTGAACACTGTAAACATAAACAACTAAAGCAATTCGTGCGATATTTCCATATACAATATTCCCCACGCGTAAAAAAAATAAAATAAAATAAAAAAAAAATAAAAAAAAAATAATTAGAAAATAGCACATGTTGTACTCCAAAATCTGATGATAAAAGGCTGATTAATCCATACCCCATTGCAAGCATCTGAAAATGGAACTGGTCATGCGAGCACCATGAAAAGCATCGATTTTATAGAATCCAAACTGAAAAGAAATGGATGAGCGGTATATATACTCTCCGTTACATAGAGGTCCTTTATTGCTTTTTTCTTTTTTTTTTTTTTTTTTTTTTTTTTTTTTCAAGCACATCAGCAACCTCAGAGATAAAGCTCACCTTCTTCCTCTTCACTTTTTCTTTTTTTTTTTTTTTTTTTTTTTTCTCAAACACACACTACATTACTTCTATAATAGCTTATACTCATCTCTACATTCATACATATCATACAGAAAAGTAAAGACATCATGACCACAGGTTATCAAGATGATGGAAACCGTTATGTCTGTTCTTTGGCTTTGGATTCTACAGTTGAGGAGGAGTTGGTCGAAAGCCTGGAGGAGATCTCCATCTTGACGATGGGTGAAACACCTCGAGCAAGAGCAAGCGAGGAAAACCCCACAGTACTTGCAGCAAGAACAAGCGAGGAAGTATCCACAGCATCTGCAGCATCTGCGGCATCTGCGGCAGCAGCAGCAAGTGAGGAAGCCATCCACTCCTTTAGTTGCAACCTCTGCGCCATTAAACAACCAGGTCTAGACCACTATTTCTGTAGCTGCGGACGCTATAGCCAAGGGAAACGCGGTGAATCCTCTTATCGAAAACAGGTCCGTCGCTCTGAGGGTAAAGTCGAACCAATGGATTGAAATTTTTGATCTCGGGGGACCAAGCGTCAATGATTAATAGGTAAAAGGACCTACCAAGTTTGTGTGCATGACCAAGAGCGGATGCAAAAGATTCCGTCTTATCGTATTGCTTTCCGAAGGGGAGGACGGTATCCCCCGAATGACCTTCTTACGACCTCTTTAATGGCCTTCTAATGACCTTGACGATACCTAAATGGTCTATAGCTTGTGAGGGAACCTTTGATCTCTGTTTACTCTTTCGTTCCAGGGTATTCTCTCACTCTTTTCTTTTGTCCTTTTTTCAGTCCCTATTGAGCCCACTCAGGATCTCTCTTCTCTCTCGCCTTTATTCTTTTTCCTTTTCAAGGGCCAACCCAATTTTGATATGATCCAACTCAATGGCTGTTAAAAGTATTCAATACTATGAAGATAAGGAAAAAAAATAAAAATAAAAAATGATTGATTAAAAATAAAGTGTGATGTATTTTTACCGAACCGTTTACATAATAGCAATCGGGTCAGTTCACAATATAATTGTTGATTTGCAATTCTCCAGTTCTTTTCTTTTTTTCTTTTTTTCTTTCTTTTTTTTTTTTTTAAAAAAAAAACTCACCAAAAGGCTGTCATCAATCAATTGATATATACATGCATGCACGCGTGACTATAGCTTTATTGAGCTTCTTTTTTTTTTTTATATTTGCTTCGCCTTCTTGGCATCATCACCTAAATACAATGCTTCTTTTTTTCTATGCTTTGCTACCCTATTCTGCTCTCTCTCCCCCTCTCCATCTTTCGGTCTCCGCTGCCTGCTGCACCACCCCCTTTTTGTTGCATACTTACAGTACACGTTCTGAGTTAGAAATTTAGTCATTTGATGTGCAGAGCAATTCGCCAATCAAAAGTATGCTCAGTCATAAATTAAGGGTCCAAGGTACGTCCTAAGCAAACGAGCAAACGAGGGTTGTGGAGTAGGTTGTACAAAATGAGAGTCTTTTGTATCACCAGAATATCCTCAACAACCAAGTGTACATGTGTACAATGCAACACAATATAGACAAACAATGGTTTAAAAAAAAAAAAAAAAAAAAAAAGAAAAGACTCTCGACCGGTCTCTCTTTTTTTTTTTTTTTTTTTTTTTTTTTTTTTTTTTCGTTTTTCAGTCCGTGGACACAATGAATACAAGGGATAAAACAATATATTAAATAAAATAAATATGCAAGTAAACATGCAAAATTAACCAACGGTTATAAAAAGAAAGTTTTATTGATAAACAATGCATATATTTATAATTAATGAAAGGAATGATTATTAAAATAAGTTTGAATATACTAAAATAATCTTTCCCCGGAACATTTTTTTTTTTTTTTTCTTTTTGCTCTAGCAAAGCAACGATGATCTTGAATGCTGGTTACAAATTGTCATAGCATCTGCATGGCTAAGTAAGAAAAAAAAAAGAAAAAAAAAAGGGAAAGATAGTCGGGCCGTTTCCTCGTACATTTTTCTTCTGATCTGATCTTTTGTTATTGAAATACATCGTGTACAGAAAAAAGTGTAAATATTTCATATGGAAAATGTGCATGCTATCCAACAGTCTTCACTTATTTATTTTTTTCTTCTTTGTTCCTATATATCTTCCTTTATCCATGTTAAACCATTTGAAAAACAGATCAGCCTTCCATCAAAGTGGTGATCATATCTGAGAACCCGAAAGAGATTTTAGTTCATTGGCGAAGTAAAGAGAGTTAAGTATCAGACTAAAGACCTTTCTATGCATATTAATACTTTACTGTTTTTGTTTATTCGAAATTCGAAAGGTACAGTCATAAGCTCACAAAAACTCAGAAAAAAATGTATGCATTTATGCATGCGTAATTAACTCTCGTCTGCAAGACGAACTCCTCCATTCATCCAACTTCCCTCCAAAGTTTTTTAGTACCAGAACCGAAAACCGAGAATCAATGGACGGATAAGACGACACAAAACCAGGGGTTTGAGGCCCTTAGAGCCCTACAAAAAAAACATGAACAAGAGCCTGTTTACTTCTACAAAGAGAGAGAAAGAGAGAGAGAGAGTGAATGAGGAAGGACTTCATCCTCACAGTACAGGTGCCGCTTCAAAAAAAGTATATAAAGAGGAATTGTTTCCTAAATCCTTATAACTAATGACTTCTTTGTAAAATCCATCTGTAATTACTTTCGTTTTGTACCTTCCTTTCACATCTTCCTTTCTTTCTTTCTTTCTTTATTTTTTCTAAATTACTTTTGTTTTTTGTTTTTTTTTTGTTTTTTTTTTTTATTACACAAGAACGACACCTTTGTACAACTCTACTGAAATTAATTCCCTTTCACGCACCCTTCCACGTTTACAACCTTTCCAGTCTTTTTATTTGTTTATTTGTCTTTTTAATACTGTACACAAACGAGAACAAGCACAAGAACAATCAGAGCAAGAACAAGAGCAAGAACAAACTGATCAAGAACAAGAACAAGAACAAGCAAAGCAAGAACAAGAACAAGCACAGCAAGAACAAGAACAAGCACACGTACATATAAAGCAAGAACAAACAGTTCAAGAACAAGAGCAAGAACAAACAGAGCAGGAACAAGCACAAGGACAAGCATAGCAAGAGCAAGAACAAGAGCAAGCTGAGCAAGAACAAGAGCAAGAACAAGAACAACAAGAACATCAACAAAAAAGGTTTAATGACTGCCTATCGCCAGAGCCGTGCCAACGACCGTCATGCTGCTAATCCTAATCCTCAACAACTACTTGCGCCGGACCAGATCCACATTAACACATTCCTCTTGGGTGCCGCTGTTGAGGAGCCGACCGAAGCCTTGGATGAAGTTTCTATCTTGGTGGTTGAAGAAGCAGCCTCTTCAGATGAGGGAACAACCCCTCCAACCGATAGTGGATCGAACATGCCCGAGAATGAAGCCGCAGCTCCAATGGCCCAAAATCCTGGTCTCGAAGGGCCAGCCACCACTGACGGAAGTCAGGAATGAGGTTATGCAAATGGGAAGAAAGACAAAAAAAAAAAAAAAAAAAAAAAAAGCCCAATTGTGCATTGACAACCTCCTGGCTGCCATAAAAAGGGAAAAGCTCTTTTTTTTTTTTTTTTTTTTTTTTCCTCCTTCCTTAGATGTCAGGTACGTAAAATGAAAAATGGATTGTAGGTCCCTTTTTCCATTTTGGCACGTTAGTTTTTTCAATGTTTGCTCTTTGGGGTTGTCTTTGATTTTGACTGTGCTTATGTTACACATTGGATTCTTTTTTCACACATTTCTGTCTTTTTTATTTTTTATTTTTTATTTTTTTTTTCCAGTGGTACTTACGGATAACTGATTGGTCCAAAAATGCATCCTGTAGTACAGAGCACCAGGATGGCAAATGATCATGATAAATAAGAATAATGATAATGATAATGATAATGATAATGATAATAATAATAATAATAATAGTACTAGTAATAATAACGATAGTAATAATAATAATGATAGTAGTAATAATAATAGTAATAATTATATATATAAACTAATGATAAAAATCACGACTAAAACCAGAGGCTTGGGATATGTACACATGATCGTTTTCATTAAAAAGCTGCTGGACAATTGAGTTATGGCTATTAGTTGCGATATACACATATAATAGATGAATGATTGTAATAAAGTCGGGGGGGGGGGGTTTCTTTTTCTTTTTTCCTTCTTTCCCTTCTGTGTTCTGTTCCTCCATTGCTTTGCATGATTTGACATTCCATCATTCATACAGTTTAAAAAAAAAAAAAAAAAAAAAAAAAAGCGAAGCATTTAACTATAATTTGACCAATGATGGTGTTTGTGATCAATTAAGTCAATTAAAATCAATTAAACCAATGCTCCAAAGAATTGTCACAACTATTGTCTCGTGATAACGGCCACTGATTGGTGAAGTGAAACCCAGTTCCCCTGAAAACAATGACAATGATGTCGTTGTGGCTTCTCGTCTTCCAGAATACATTAAACAAAAAATGCTTGTAGCAAAAAAGAATCTGTCTCTTTTCCATTGTTTCCATATTTCCCTTCTCTTCCTTCGTCCTTTTCATTACAAGGACAGAAAAAAAAAGTTTCTTATTCTTGTTTGATTGCTTGGCAAGAGCCTCTTCATTTCCCCCCTTTCTACCCACTCATTATTGCCGCTGGTGCTGCTGGAATGATTCGATGCATAACAGCGATGGAGCACCGTGAAAAAAAAAAAAAAAAAAAAAAAAAAAAAGGGAAGTGATCAGTTTTTAAGTATCCTCATTGACTCGATTGATGACTTGCAACATCAGTTCTGTCTTCAATATGTTTTATCTTCATGAATATTTAATCCACGCATATTTGTGCAAAAGGGGGAATAAACGCGCGCGTGTATTTCAAGCATTGAGTCTTGCTTTAATTGTCTCCCCCATACACGACAAAACAAAGTATTATACGTATATAATTCATGCACTTGGTCGCGATCCCTTGTATTTTTTGAATGTCCTCAAGTGTATTGGCGGCAAATTAACTCGCTTGTTCCGGACTTCTATTCATGCTTCAGTGCGATCCTACTGTCCTGCTGTCTTCCTCTCACTTCTCACTTCTTTCTTCTTCTCTTCTCTCTTCTCTTTCTCTCTCTCTCTTTCTTTCTCTATCTCTCTTTCTTTCTCTATCTCTCTTTCTTTCTCTAGCTCTCTCTCTTTATATATTTATACATATATCATTATTACATTAACAATGACTTCGTACAATTTCCGTCGCAACCACACTGCTACTGCTACTGCTATTGCCTCACAGCAACCTACTACTGGAAACGCTACAAGCCAGGTGCAACCGCTCTTCTTTTCTTTCACTATGGAACCAAAAGTCAAGGAATCAGTCGAGGACACAAGCAAGGTTTCTTTCATGACCAAGACCGAGGATACACGCATGACCAATGCTGACGAGGCTCTTCGGTAACCCCAGCGACTTCAAGCCATTGGGCCCCTTGAACCTGTTGCATCCTTCCATCGTTTGAAACCATTACTTGAGCCGATGACCGAGTCATCATTTGACAACCTAATAACCTGACAAACTGGCAATCTGACAAACCGATATGTTAGCAATTCAACATTTTGAAAATGCAAAATGCAAAATGCATATCGGGATCCATTCTCAACTCCATGTGCTGAGGACGGTGTGGCTTTGACCGCCACCAAAAATGTGATACAAATGCTTACTCACATTGTTTCAAATAAATATAATTTAAAAAAGGAAGTGCTCTACAGAGCTCTTTTTCTTTTTTTTTTTTTTTTTTTTTTTTTTTTTGAATAGTCATTGATGTTACAACTGTGAAATGTATATTGCTGATGATGCTTGCCATATCCATAGTGCTGAGCATCAGTAGTGGAGCATAGTTAAACCACGCTGGTGTCAGTACCAAATGTTACAAATAGCTTATTTTTAGTTATTTTATTTAAATACCAGTAAGGAAAATGTTGCTCATGTGATTGTTGAAGATTTTTCTTTTTCCTTCTTTATTCTAGACAAGTTGTAATAAAAATTAGAAATAGTGAGGTCATCTCGACCGTTTTGGTGTTAATTTTTTTTTTTTTTTCCCCCGTATAAATTTGAAGCATTGACCACATGTTATATAGTACAAGTACCTGAATGCTGTACATGTACCTGCATGTAATCTTTGAAGACTTTCTGAGCTCAAGCGTATGTTTCTATACATACATGAGTAATAGGCTCAATTCATCCAGAGCTAGAATAGTGATTGCGCTTCTATTACACCCGCGTGGAATTCTTTTCATATTTCTACATGTGCCTTTTTCTCCAATGACTCTTACAGATGGTTCAAAAACATGCCCTGAAGTACTACAGCTCTTTGGACTGCGATGTAGGGAAGGAAATAAGGGTCATATGTATCCTTTATTCCCTGGACGCGACTGTTTTCACAAAGAACTGCTAGTGTATCAGTTGTAATTTGTACACGGACTAAATAGATGATTGTATAAAAGTCGAAATTTTGTTATTGAGGTATTTGACTGCAATTACATATCTGTATTTGTATGTATGACGTATTGATGCTAGTTGCACCAAAGCTCCAAAGCGTTGCAACAAGAAAAGCAAGATTTTCTTTCCTCCTGACCTCCTCTTTCTTTTTATCCCTCTTTTTTATTTTTTTATTTTTTTATTTTTTTATTTTTTTTCCTTTCGGGCTAAGCCCTTTACTTATTTACAGCACATTGCTCTCTTCCTTTCCCAGACTAAGCCCTCCTACGCTAAAAGATTTCGACCATTTTCTACTCTATAAATGAACACATTCATGATTCATGTTTTATTTTATAATACTCTTTTCTTTCTTTTACTTTCTTAATTTACTTTCTTAATTTACTTCTCTTCCTACTTTTTTTTTATTTTATTTTATTTTTTTTTATTTTATTTTTTGTATCATCAAAAGGGCAGAAAGATCATTGTTTCTCTCTGAGAGCCTTTTCTTGCACTAATCCGTGGACTATTATCATCATCACTCATGGCCTTGTTCTTACCGAATCAATCAACATGAACGGAAAACGGCAGTGTAGCACAAAAAACAAAATATCTATGCCTGAATTTCAGTTGGAAGCTTTAGAATGCCGAGAATGCAACAGGTAGGAAATTCCCCTACTCCACATCGTATCACAAAAAAAGAAAGCATGCTTCTCTTTGACAACTAGTGTCATATAACAAAGTTAATGGCAGTTGGAAGTTTGATCACCACTCAATGTTATAAATATCTTTCGATCAGAATCTGTTCAACCAACTACTTGTATAAATATCGTCTCTAGAATTGAAAGGACTAGCACATAAAAGCACTCTATCTCTTCTACATACTTTCTCTCTCTTTCTCTTTCATTGACTCAAAGCCTCAACCTTAAAACTCTTTTTTTAATCATGACCGCCATTCGTATGCCCCGCCGCACCAACCGTACTGGTGCTGCTGCTGCTGCTGCTGCTGCTGCTGCTGCTGCTACCTCACAACAATCCACTGCCGTAACCGCTTCAGGCCAGGTACAACTGTACTATTATTCTTTCACAATGGATCCTAAAGTCAAGGAAATAGTCAAGGACAATTAATGTTTCCTTCATGATCGGAGCCGAGATTACCCTACCAAGCGAGACCACCGAAAGCTAATACCGCGGAGATAACTCGATAAGGAACAGCCTATTTTAGATTGTACTATTAAATATATTGTATTATATTATATAATTTGGTTAAACTCAACTTATATTCAAGTTCAATACATTGAACCTGAGTGCATAGTCTATTGTCGCTTGGAGGGAAAAAAAATAAAAATAAAAGCTATTACTAACCGCATGATGCAATTCATCTTTTGCAAAATAGAAAAAAAAAAAAAATTCCCGCGTTTTTTTTTTTTTTTTTTTTTTTTTTACATACGCGATCAAAGTGTTTTTATTAAAATAAAAGAAAATAAAATAGAAGAGCAAACAATAAAGTAGCAGTAAATACAAGGCAATAGCAACATAAAATAATAAAATAAAATACTTATATAAAATAGTAATTAAAGCAAACCAAAGTAAGGCGAAGTGAAACGAAATAAAACAAGCCGAAAAAAAAAGTGGCTATGAAGAGGAAGGAGACTCCTCTCTTTTTGAATTGATTACTACAAAATACATGTTCTCTCTGACGTATCGTATAGTGTGCAAATGAGCAGTGGAATACAGTTATATATATCTATCTGCTTGTATCATTACTTGTATCAAATAAACATTGAGAGGTTTTCTTTTCTAGAAAAAAAAATAATAATAATAATAAAAAGCATAGACCAACATGTATTCAACATTCATGTACTTTTTGAAGGGTATCTCAGTCTTTTTCGTGGCCTCTCGTCAAATATGTTCTGTACAAAACTCCCGACTGGATGATGCTCATTTATTTTCTGCATTCTCGTTGAAATAAGTTTTGCAATGCATTGAAATTGCAATATATGACATTACACGTTGGTGTAACACACCTGCTCAAGCCTGAACAGGGCATGAGGACAAAAACAATAAAAGAAAGTATATACAAATGCCAGTGCAAGGACAGGGAGTCATACCTGCGGCGCACACAAAAACTAGGGACATTCCCCTGGCTGAAACAATGTTAGAAAAAGACCCTAGTTCTTTTTGAGGGCACTCATTATTTGCCATCACTGCTCAGCGCCACATCGGATCACACAGTATATATATAATTATGCCAACTTTTGATTATTCATTAATGCAAAGATTGCAAAGAATGCAAAGAATACAAAGAATCGAGGGAATGAAAAAAAAAGTAAGAATAAGTAGAAAAAAGGGTGGGGTAGCTGTGGGTACAATGCTCGAGTCCCAAAACTCCATTTGAGACTAATGCAATATAGCAGCATTCAGACGAAGTTATTGGCACTTTGTCAAGTCCTGAGAATCCTTAATCTCTATTCTTCAGCATTGGCAAGATAAAAACCGCTTCATCTCCTCTATGTACTTTCTTTCTCTTTCTTTCTCTATCTCTTTCTCTTTATATATATCACTATTCCATAACATCTACCTTAAAGCTTTCTTAAAAATGACAGCCACCCGTCTACCCCATCGCAACCGTACTACTACTGCTACTGCCTCACAGCTATCTACTGCTGGAAACGCTACAGGCCAGATGCAACCACTCTTCTATTCTTTCGCGATGGACCCAGAAGTCAAAGAATCAGTCGAGGACACAAGCAAGGTTTCTTTCATGACAAAGCCGAGAATATCCATCTGCATTATTTTTTGGATTTCGAGCTTGTCGGGTCGTCATATTACCAAATGATGGCTTGGTTATCGGTTCAGTAATGATTTCAAATGATGGAAGGATACAAACAGTTTGGCTCAATGTGTCCATTGGCTTAGTTATCGAGGGGCCCTATCATGCGTGCGGTGGTCTTGCTTGACAGGGATCCTCTCAGTCCCAAGTTGTGAAGAGGACAGTGGCTTTGCCGCCACCAAAAGTCTGATACGCCGCTAATTTTTCATTGACATTTCCTGTTCCTGAAATCTGTACAAATAAAAATATAATTTGTTTGATGCAGTGTTTTGTACTGATGTACCTCCATACCTGAATTCACCAGCCTGAGGACGAAGTTCATGTGCACATGCACGTACTGAAAGGCAAATCTGGCTTGCTCTTGCAGACACTTCTCTCTCAGGCTGGGACCAAACTTGACATTTTGGCTGGAGGTCTCTTTTTTAAATTTGAAAAAATTCCCGAGTCGAAGCATCTCCTGAAGCAACACCAGAGGTTAATAAGCCAAAAAAAGGTACAGCCATCTGATAAAGCCAACTCAAAAATTAGACGAATAACACGATCCAAGAGAATGGCATCATAACGCTCATAGAGAGTATCGCAGAGGTTTTTTACTCTGTCGTGGGACATTTTCCTTTGGCAAAAAATAATAATCTGCACGTTGAGGTTTATTTTTTCCTCACAGGTTTTGTTTTAATTTCCTGAGTGACAGAGATCATGTATAAACAATATCATTTAGGTTAAAACATTGCACGCAGCACCACATTATCCGAGTATTTATTCATTTGTTTTCTATACATAAAGATCCTATTTATGTAGGCTGGACGGCTGCAGTTATCCTTTTGTACACCAAAATTTTGTTTATCCGGACGATTTACTAAGGAAAACGTCCGGATATTTTTAAGGTTCCAATGAATTGGGAAGTATTCTTAACTTTACAAAATATATAGGCGCATGTGACATTGCATTTATCGGTTCCCATAAATGCACTTGCATCCGGCCTTTTGTCCAACCTTTCGCCCGGGAATGTGCATTTATGGGAACCCGTAAATGCAATGTCACATGCGCCTATATATTTTGTAAAGTTAAGAATACTTCCCAATTCATTGGAACCTTAAAAATATCCGGACGTTTTCCTTAGTAAATCGTCCGGATAAACAAAATTTTGGTGTACATGTGATCAAATATGCAATTAAACGAAATATGCAACAGCGGTTATGACGGGCCCTCAATAAGTGTGTGTGTAGGACCGATTTAAAAGCGCCATCGCCTTTGTCTAAAGGGTAAGTGGATGATGATGGCTTCATCCATAAAGGATGTACTATTGTAAAAAATCCTCAAGGAACAGGTATAATGCTTTCTTTATAAGACAAATTTTCATCCACTTGATTGGTATTCAATTTAATTCTTCAGGTTCGTACTGCCTGAATATGCAGCATCGATGTCGATTTTTATGACACGCTGTCTTACATGTTTCAAGTATCCAGGTATTGCCTTGGTATCCTGACTATCGTTAATAACAAACTTCTGAATCTTAAAATTATCATATACATGTATGAGATGATGATGATTCTTGGCGATGAAAAGCCTTGTCGGATGTCGTTAATGATTTGGTAACATTTGCAATGCCTGCAAGGCTAAATTCCACTGCCGCACGAGGAGTTTAGAAAGAAGACGAGGGAGCTGAGATGAGCTGAAGTGAGATGAAATGAACAGAACTGAGGTGAACTGAAATAAATAGAACTGAAGTGAGCTGAAATGAATACAGCTGAATACTTCTGAGACGTAGTGAATACAACTGGATGCTGCTAAGGTGCAATGCAAACGTGTTATACAATACTGAACCCAAACCTTTGAGGAGGGCTCAACTATCACGCGCACCCCAGGCGCCAAGACGCCAAGCCCAAGTGCCAAGACACCAAGCCCCAACCCTATCAATTATCAGTATAAATAGTCCACTACGTTATAGCCAAATAAAGTATCCTTTGACCTTCGATTCTACCTAAGATCACCTTTGATTGTTACTATTTACATGGTAGCAAAGGTTCATCGAACCACCGACCCCGCCAGAAACCGCTTATATTTCCCTCTGATATTTTTCCCTAGATCCCTCTGATATTTTCCTAGATAAAGTTTAAAAATTTACCCCTGCATTTGATTTTTTTTTTTTTTTTTTTGCCATGGACAACCTCACCACTTCCTTGAAAGCTCTTAACCTTGATGCCAGTACCAGCCTATCCGTGCAGAACGCTGTGCAAACCTTCCTCGAATCCCGACAGGATAGTGCTTCTAGCGCTGCCGCCTTTAACGACCATGTCCGCACGGTGGCTGCTGTGATAAAACCTACCAAACCAGAACCATACGAGGGAAACGGCGACGCTGTCGCGGTCCTCAACTTCTTGGAGAACCAAGAAGAGTACTTCGAGATCATGGAGCTTAACCACTCCCGTTGGGTCCGATATACCGTTGTCAACCTGAAAGGAGACGCCAAGGCATGGTGGCGAGACTCGGAAATGACAATTGATACACCATGGGACACTTTCCGAAGTAAATTCATCGAAAACTTCACACCCCCTGACACGGCTTCTTCAGCCCAGAAAGCACTGGTTCAATTAAAACAAGGTAAATCCTCAGTATCGGAATACACTGCCAAATTCCGCCGCCTCCAACGCCTCACACCCAAACTGGAGGAATCATGGCTTGTCCTCCATTATACCTACGGCCTCGTAGAAGACACAAGCAAGGAAGTCCTCCTTCGCTAGCCTCAGACTCTCAACCAGGCCATCAAGCAGGCTACGATGATCCACAGCATTTTACATTCCTCTAGACCCCCCATCATGACAAGCCAAACAAGCCAACCCACACCGACCCCGATGGACCTAGACGCAATGCAGATGATGTTCAATAACTTCCTACTACAGAGTACAAACTCCACAGGCTTAGCGAACTTCCATCGCCCCTCCTCGACTAACAACAGACCACTCTCCAAGCTCACCGAAAATGACAGAACAAAACTGCGCCGCGCGGGCGCTTGCTTTCGCTGCAGAAAGAAAGGACACATGGCCAAGAACTGCCGCGTGACTAGGAACTTGAACAACCTGGAACAGCAAGACGACTACGACGACTCGGGAAAAGAGGAGAGCGAGCTGTAGACCAGGCCAGCCTCGCTCTCACCACCAACCCTCGAGTCCTGGGCTCTAGAGGGCGCAGTCATATGGATTTAAGTAGTAACAACAGTAATAAAAACTCTAGTTCTCCTAAATCCATGATTATGCCTTCTCGTTCCTCTCCCATATTTTCTCTATCCTCTCTCTTATCACTACCCTCTAAAAGCACCTTGCACCACACCACTTCCATTTCTCTGGATTCCCTAAATCACCTCTCCCCCGATTCCAATTCCGCGTCACCTGTCACTGAAATCAAATCATCTTCAAACCAAGACACAATTGAAAATTCACCTACCCCCTCTACTTCCCACGAACACCTTGCTAGCAAACCACCCCGTCGTCGTCGTCGTCATGCCACACACCTCCAATCCCTGTCCGCTGTCTACACCAATGCGAGACGACTACTAACCTTCATCGGGGCCGTCAACGGACACCCTGCGCGAATCCTCATTGATGGTGGAGCAGAAGGAAATGTATTGAGTTCAAAATTTTGCAGAAAACATAACATTATCATAGACAACGCGAACCCTATCCCTATCATTCATCCGAATGGCACAGCAGTCATGTCCCCAGGAACCGCATCTGTTACCCTTGAACGTGGTTCCTATGGTGAAAAGATTCAAAGTATCATCTACCCCTCGAAAAAATATGATCTCATCCTAGGGAAACCTTGGCTAACCGCAGTCAATCCCCAAATCAACTGGCGCACTAACGATTTACACTTTGAACACGATGGTAAACACATACTATGGGAATGTCGAGGGCATACCTCCTCCTCCGCTCGTCAAGATTGCCTTTCTGCCATAAACTTTGCTGCATTAGCATTAGAACCCGAAACGACAACATTCTTGGCCCAAGTAAGAACCACTTCACCACCAACAAACCTAGACTCAACACTACCCGAATCGATTCAACAAATTGTCCAAGTAGAATTTCCAGACCTCTTTCCTGACACACTACCGGACGGACTCCCTCAGGATCGTGGCGATAGCATGCGAATCGAGACTGAAAATAATACCGATCCACCTGTAAGACCAGTCATTCGCTTATCAATTGCTGAATTAGACGAACTAAAAACACAACTCACAGAACTACTGCGCAAAGGCTTCATCTCTCCAAGTACATCACCCTACGGAGCACCAGTTTTATTCGTTAAAAAGAAGGATGGCGGACTGAGGATGTGTGTAGACTACAGAGGATTAAACAAAATAACCCGTAAGAATCGCCATCCACTACCAAGAATCGACGAGCTAATAGATCGTTTCAGGACAGCACGATTTTTTACAAAGCTCGACTTACTATCCGGATATCATCAAATGCGCGTTCATCCAGACGACCGACATAAAACGGCATTTCGAACACGCTACGGTCACTATGAGTTTAACGTCGTCCCTTTCGGACTCACCAGCGCACCTGCCGCCTTTTCAGCCATGATGCGCAACGTGTTGGATCCCGTGCTGGATAAATGCACCGTAGTTTACCTAGATGATATACTGATTTATTCTGATAACAAAGAGCAACATCTACAAGACATCAGAAACGTTCTTAGGCTCCTACGCAAGGCAGGCCTCTTTTGCAAGCTTTCCAAGTGTTCATTTATGCAAGAGGAGACAGAGTTCCTAGGCCATGTTATATCCAAAGATGGACTCAAAACAAACGGAGCACTGGTTAAGGCAGTTAGAGAATGGCCAACACCCACAACACAGCGCCACGTCATGCAGTTCCTTGGATTAACAAACTTCTATCATCAATACATCGACCACTATGCTGATATCGCGCTTCCCCTTACTGATCTGTTAGGCTCAACTACAACATTCTACTGGAGCAAGCCTCACCAAGAGGCCTTTGAAAGACTGAAGCAGGCAGTCACCATGGCACCCGTACTCAGAATTTTTGACCCTGCCCTAGCAACTTCCGTCGAAACTGATGCATCAGGTTTCGCCATTGGTGCAGTCTTGTTCCAAACAGATCACAAGGGCGAATCGCGCCCTGTTGCCTTTACATCACGAAAGTTGAGCTCTGCAGAACGAAACTACCCAACCCATGAGCAAGAATTACTAGCTGTCGTCCACGCCTTAAGAACATGGCGATACTATTTGGATGGATCTCATTTTATTGTCTATACTGACCATGCCACATTGCAGCATTTTCCAACCCAGCCAAACCTGACTCGGAGACAGGCCAGATGGATGGAACTCCTACAAGAATACGACTTCAACTTCAAGTACAAACCAGGCAAAGACAACATCGTCCCCGACGCTCTCTCAAGGAGGCCTGACCACAAGGCGCAGGATCCCGCCAGTGAGCAGATTAACTCCATAGAAATAAGTTTGGACCCAGGCTTACGGCAGCGCCTGATAAAGTGTTACCCATATGACCTTAAGTTAGGATCACTTTACGAAAGCTGCCGCGAGGCAAGTCCCTCTGATCGTTATTTTGTTGCTGATGACCTATTGTGGATTAACATCGCTGGACAGACACGTTTATGTATCCCGAATGATCCTAACATTCGCGCTCTCCTACTTCATGATGCACATGATTCTCCCATTGCTGGCCACCTCGGCTTCGAGAAAACATATGAAACCATGCGAAGGACTTTCTTTTGGCCACGAATGGCCCGAGACACCAAGACTTACATTGCATCATGCGAACAGTGCCAGCGAAATAAACCACTGCTTCATCATCCTGCCGGATTATTCAAACCTCTCGATATACCTCTTGAACGATGGGAAACTGTCACCATGGACTTCATTGGCCCTTTACCCAAGACGAACCGAGGGTTCAATGCCATAACTGTATTCGTAGACAAGTTATCCAAACAAGTCCACTTCTGCCCTAGCCATACAACGGACACTGCTTCAGATATCGCGCGACTCTTCTTCAATAATGTCTTCCGACTCCATGGCATGCCACGAGCTATTGTATCGGACAGAGACTCAAGATTCACGGGA